TGGCTGCTTGATTTTCTAAAGCTTATGAGTCAGAAGAAATAAACCCTTTCAATGTGTCTGTGTTGCAAACTCAGCTTGGGATTTGAAATCTTGTAGCTCATGAATCCCCAGAAGTACTAAAGGTTTTCAAATGTGCCACAGAGACCGAGCCCAAGATTTCCTGTGTTTCTAGGTGGCTGCTTTATTTAATATTAGGATTTTAACAGCTGCAAGAGCACAAATACTGCAGGTCTCTCCTTTGTTTCTGCATCCATATTTAATTTGTCAGCTGCTTTGGGGACCTCTTGGTGGGATGCTGTTGGGAAGTGCTTTACTGGGATGTTTTATTTTGGGAATGTCTGGAGGGAGTTTGGGCTTTGAGAAAGCTCTGCCCATTGAGGCTTTGGAAGAAGGCTTGCTCTCCTGGTATTGAAAACCACATTCCCTCAAGACCTAAAGATCTTTACAGAAAAACAGATAACCCCAGGAAACTGAGTGTGCACCCAGATTTTCCCTGCGTGCAGACATCAACTCTCACACCATAAAAGACCTCGCAACGAATCTTAAGTAACTTCTTAGCACAAGAGAAAACTCTGACCTGCTCAGCATAAAGTTAAATTTCCCACCAGGTGTTGCTTCTAGCAGTTGTTAACAATTCCTGTTCTTTTTTTTTTTTCCTGTTGCAAAGGCAGCACTTTAAGGGCTTGCTGGCAAGGGCTTACGAGGAAGCTCGTACTCCTCCTGCCGAAGGGTGATTTAACTTGCGGACCGAGACTTGGGGGTTGCGTGGTTGGAGGGGAGCTGCTGCTCCCAGTGGAGCTGGGCTTGATAAATGAGGCTGCCACCCGCCTCTGCTAAAGCCCTGTGCTCATCTGGGCATGCCTGGAGTTAATATTTGCACCTACTTTTTGCTTTCGTCCTCCAGGTTTTCATCCGGAGTCGGAAGAGTCGAGTTCCCTTTTGCAGACAGCGGTTTCCGTGCTGCAGAGCTCCTACTTGGACTCTACATCTCAGGACGGTTTTCAGTACAGCCAAGCAATTCTGGTGGAAAACGATGTTTTTCTAAGTGAGGTAAGGCCAGGGGAGGAGCAGGGTGTTGCTGGCGGCTTGGGAAAGGGTGACATTCCTTTGGGAGACGCCTGTAAATGCTTGTTTATTGGTGGGGCTGTCTTCCCTTTGCAGCACGTGCCTGATCTGCCGGCCTTGTAGAGCCCCCATTTGCAGTTCCTGACTGAAAGGAGCCTTTTCTCTGCTTCCTTGCACCTCTTCCTCCCCATTCTGACCAGGAACAAAAGGTCCATTCAGCCAATGTTACCAAACATTCAGCAGCAGTTCCTGGTTTGATACGATGCAGGAGAGCTTTAATGTTACTGCCCTTCTGCTGATTCACAGCAAGGCAGATTTCTATGTGATATTTCTTTTTCTTTTGCACCCGTGGCAGGCACCAGTTTGAACCCCAGTTCCCTTTCTCCAGCTGACTGGGGCGTGTACAGAACCGCTTTTAAAATGCCTTCATCCCTACACTCCCACTGTCGTTGGCGTGGAAGACAAGCTGTCTTCTCTGGGGACTGGAATGACCAGTCTGCTTGTTGTCATGAATTAAACAGAGCTTAGACATTTTGGCTGCCTAAATCTGGGATAGCTGTGGAGCTAGATAAAAAACCTGGGAAAGCAGGTGCCATTTGTTGATTTGCCTGTGAGTTCTAAAGCCAAAATAAGCAAAAGCAGTGATGAGATTGTTGTTTTCTTATCTTCTGACCCTCTTTAAAAAAACCCCATCCTTCTACAGCTTCTTTTATTTAAGTCCCAAAGCATCACTGACTCAGGCTCAGCTCTGTTTGCTGCCGTGGCCTTCTCCCTGTGTGCACAGAGAACATGCTCTGCTTTAATTATCAGACAAAAGAAGTTGGAGTAACGCGTTATTTGGCTGTGGCCAAACCCTCTGAGCTCTAGTCGTGCGGTAGCACTTGCCCTCTCATCAAATGGTCTAGGCTTCCCTGGTCAGTGGAGAGAGAAAAAGAGAGGTGCCTCCAAGCATCCCCCCTTCTGTAGGCATCTTCTTCATGGCTGAGGTGATTTGTCTTCTGGTGGTCACAGCTGGCTACTAAACGTAATGCTCCACCAGCCCACATGCTGCTCAGTGAAACAAGCTCCCTGGTAGCCGACGATGTGTGGCCGGAGGGGCAAGGAGAACTAAGGCTGGACTTCCCTGGGATGAGCACAGGGTGACCCTGCGGGGCTGGATGTGCCTGCTGTCCCTTGGAGGACATTGAATATGTTCTGCTGGCGACAAGGGCAGAGACGGACGGACAGACAGATGCGTGGGGTGGGGGCCTTGGCGGGGGGGGGAGACTGGGTGTACACGTACCTGGGGGAGGGAGCGGCGTGTGGGCACGTGAGCTGGTCCAGCATCACCTGGCTGCTGCCAGCTGCCCCGTGCTGACCCCGGCTGTCCTCACACCCTGAACACGTGTCACTTGGCTCTGGCACGGACAGAGCAGAACGAAGTGCTGTTGTGTCTTCTGCAGCTCAAAGCTTTTGCCCAAGCGAAGGAAGCCGCCGGGTACAGCCAGGAGGAGCTGGAGGAGACCTTTGCATTTCTCCTGTTTGATAAAGAAGAAGAGGTAACCTGAAATGTTTGTTCAGCTTCAGAAGTTTGATGCCGAGTGCCTGCGCGTGTGCTCTGTCCCGCCAAAGCCCAGCAGATCTGTTGACTGGCGTGTCCTGGCTCTGTACCCAGGTTACTGGTGCAATTACTGCTGTAGAAATAGTCCAGAGCAAGTTCTGAAAGCAGCTCCTGGGAGGTTATGGTGATGGATCTTACTTTGCACCTCTCCAGCCAACTACTGTTTGAGATTTGGCTGCCTCCTTTGCCCTCTGCAGGAGATAGGAGGAGTCTGCCTTTGTCCCGGTGGGTTTATGGTCAAGTACAGGCAGGTGAAACCTTTCACGTACGCTTAGAAGAGAAAAACACCTTTGTGACAGAAGACAGGAGTTTGTCAGGTGGTTTTGGGCAAGTTCCCTTGGGTTTGCCACCTGTTGGGAAAGTTTTTCCTGCCGATTTTTCACAAGGATGCTTGTGAATTTGTTGTGAAAAGAGTTTGCCTACGCCAGGAAGCTCGGGGAATCTAGTGGGAATTCACTTTTAACGTGATTTAACGACGCCATGCTAAATCATGGTAGAGGTGGTTTTGTTCAGGATGAGAGTGTCCTGAATTCTGTTCCGTTTGGGTTGAGCTACAGCAAAAATAAACCCCTTTCAGTCTCACTTTGGGTGTGAGAATTGTCCCGCTTTATTTTAGCACAGTCTGTGCCAAGGGGCTGAGCTCCTCGTACAGACCCTAGGAGAGAGGGAGCCCTCCAGAGGACAGCTGGACCCTGTTTGATGCAGACATCTGAAATCCTTGAGTTAAATCGCTCTCTGGAGGTGCTTCTCTCTCCGTTGCTCAGAGGAGAAGTCCAGCTGGCTGGTCTACGCTAGACACTTGGTTTTAAGAGGCAGAAATTAGGTGTGATGAGTGCCCCATGTTGCTTGTAAAGGGACCGACCATAGTTTGACTGGCTTGCTTTTATTTCTCACCCATAATGAGTTCAAACTGCTCCTGTTGTCACTCTTTGGTCAATATATGCTTGGACTTCACACACTTTCGTGAATCTGTTTTGGATGTGGATTAAATCAAAGCCGGCAAGATGCTCCCAGGGGAGTAATTCTGCCTGTGGAGGACTGAGCGCGGAGCAGCAAATGTCCTTTGCCTTCCCGCCAGCCCCGCTGCATTTATCTTTCCACAAATTGCCCGTGTGGATACAGAAAGTGCAAAGTCCAGCCTTGCTTTTGCACTGTGGTTTCTGGAGATGCTGGATTTTTTCCAGTTTTTTTTTCCTAAGCTTTTGCTTCCGCAGAGATTTTGGTAACAACACTTGATAAAGACGGGTGGTTAGTACCTGGAACCACAGATTTTCTTCTTGTTGGTTCTTCCTGTGGACATTGTGTTTATTTTCCTTGAGTTTTGGGACTGTAACGATCTGTAGTTGACTTGCAGCACGCTTGCCTGTTGCAAGCGTTTTGCCAACAGTTGTGCTACAGTTTTCACCAGCTGTGTCCCTTATCTCTGAAAATAGATGGTAAAAGAGTCTGTCTCTTCTTTTGAAGGCAAAAGAGGTGTGTCAGACAGGCCTCCGTGTAAACAGCAGTTCTATTTCCACACTTGGTGACCCAGCGAAAGGTAAGATTTCCATTCAGAGGACCAAGAGACCTGCTCACTGTTCTGGGGATATTGACTCCTTTAAAAAACAAAAGCCCAGACAAACTCCTGGTACTGCCTTGTTGTTTCTGTAAAGATCCACGGAAACTTCTGTGTTTCTTTTGTGGGAAACTGTGTTTGTTTGGATCAAGCAAGCAGAAGTGTTTTTCTTCTGCCCCCCTCAACCAGGTGAGGATGGGATCTTCCTCAGGGAGCGTTATCATCTCTTCACCTCTCCATTTCAGGCTTTTTCTCGCTGGTTAATAACAACCTTTGCCACCAAAGTGGCTTTTTGGCAGCTCTCCCCACCGGTTTGCCCTTCAGAGTCCATTTGCTGAGCGTTTGCAAACAGTCCTGTTAATAACCGGAGCGGGTTGTGACACGTCGAAGCCCTTTTCAGCCCGTGCTTGTTCCTTGCCCAAAGGTCTGGGGCCTCAAGACGTGCAGTGCGGGACGTGTTACTCCAAGAAGTCCTTCTGCCAGAAGCAGAACGTCTCCTGGTGCTCATCCTGCAAGTCTTTGCAGGCCAAGACACCTACTTATTGAACAGTCAATGGCAGTGAATGCTGCAAAATCAAGCAAGAAGTGGGTGTTTAGCTGGGTGTATATCTTAGTCCTGATGGACTGAGCTGAGTATTATGGTGGGTCTCTTTGTAGCCCTTTCCCTGCCCAGTCCCTATTTCCCCGCCATGTCCTTCTCTACCCATCTTGTCTACAGATATAAAGCAGGAGGGAAGAGCCAACGCCACCCCCTCAGCAACCATTAAATCCACATATGCCCTCTGAGCGTGGAAATAAGCCGTGTCAGAATAGGCCTTGTCACGGGGTGGAAGGTTCACAGTGGGCATCTGGGACGCTGAAGAGCCATAAAGAGCTAAGGAGGGGGCCTGGGAGGCTCTATACCATGCCGTGGGCCTGCTCTCGTGCCCTTGCAGGGTGTGTTCCTCGCATCCAAACATCCACGTTGCCTTTGTGTGACTCCAACTTGAGCAAAGTACCTGCCCTAGTTGCAGCCTGGCCTGGGAGCCCTTCACCAGAGCTTCCTGTAAGAGACAAGCCCTCGCTCGGTGTGTTTTCACGTGGTGTGGGCAAAACTGAGGTTAGCCGGGCTGCTTCTCCCAGGAGAAACCCAGGTTAACTCCTTTCCTAGAGCTGACCCAATGTCTGATGCCGTTCCATACCAGTAGGCAAAAAAAGGAAGAGTCAGAAAGAGTTTCACCCGTTTTATGGCAGCACTGGTTCTGCAGAGACTCCCATTTCCCCCAGGAGGGTCCTTTTTGGCAGGGCTTTTTTGGCCATCAGCTTTACTTGAAGGATGATTCACGTGATCTTGCATTGCTTTCTTTTCACAGGGGTTTATATTTCCAAGTATGCCGACTGTCTGCATCCAAGACCCTGGTATCATGGGAAATCAGGCTATATTGTCATTTGTAAGCTAATTAAGGTAAAATGCAACTCCTACTTTTTACGTGGAATGGTTTTCAGAAGCCACTATAGAGCGCAAGGTGTTTTTAAGGAGGCATTGGTGCCCATAACTGTGGTGGAGTGTAAAATCAGCTCTGTTGAGTGCTCACTGGGATTTTTGACTATGGGATGTGTCAGGCTGGAGAGCAAGAGATCCAGCTGGGACGGCCTGCAGGGCAGCAGAGGAGGCGGAGGACCTTCCAGATTCCACCGCTGCGATCAGAAATTCCCCATAGGGTCACCTTTTTCCCTGGACTCTCATGCATTTTGGAGGTTTGAGAGGGGGGAAACCTAAGGTGACTCAGATCACGGCCCCTTTCTATTCCTCCATGAGACTGGCCCCTTTCTCCCCTCCCCGCTGGCTCCTGCTCTCTGTAGCTGACACCAAAACCACGCTGCTCCCGTTTGCTCTCCTGAGCAGCGCCGATTTGTCTGCCATGACGAGCTCAGCCAAGCCAGACCCTCAAGTTTGAAAGGACACAAATACACACAACTCCCCTCACAGCGGTGGCAGGCCTGCCAGGAACACTATTTTTGGGAAAAAGGAGAATCCAGGGGTCTTTAAAAATAAGTTTCCGCGAACAGTGCTGCGTATTCTCTCTTTTTTGGGGGGGAAATTTTCTGGCACAGGGGAAGGTCAAGGTGGTATCTGAGAACTACACGACCAGCTATACCTGCCCGTCTCCCGGCTATGACTGCCACGTCGCCGTGAGCAGGAACAACGCCCCCTCCAAGACCAGCCCCTGCCAGGCCTTCAAGCAGAGCCAGGTAGAGGTTTGCCACAGGACCGTGCGGACGGCTCGCTCACGGGCTGCCGGGGATCGTGGTGCTGGCCCGGGCGCCTCGCTCGTCCCTCACCTTGTTTTTTCATCCGTGTTTCCCTTCTCCCCCCAGTATTACGTGTACGAAGTGTCCGATGGCGGCGCTGCCGAGCGGCCCAGGCAGATCTGCCCCTACATAGTCATCGCCTGCCAGTACAGGGAGCCCAAGGAAATGCCCGTTTTAGCCAGAGAGAGCCTGTGAGTGATCTGCTGTCGTTCCAAAATACCTCCTCGCTTTTGTGGGCTGGTTTTCCTTTCCCCATTGCTAAATGTTCCTTTGGTTTTTTTCTCCCTTTTCTCTAGACCTGACCTTCATCACAAAGGTAGGAGCAGCTGGTGGTTGGGTTTGGGTTATAAATGTGCTTTTCTCTGTTTGCCCTCTCCTCTTGCTTTCTCTGAGCCGTTCTCCCTCTTGCCTGTAGCGTTGTACTGTCCGTGGAGGGGGCAGCTCTCCATCCGGGGCCAGCTTTTGTGCAACATCGCCCTGAGGACCCCGTACAGCTCCGCGATTCCAGCCCAGCTGTAAGTTACCCCTTTTTCTCTTCTTTCTCTACGATTCGTGGAGTGTGAAGCGTTACGCCTTTGGGTGTCTGGGTACCAGTGAAAACCAGTTTTGTGTCTCCTGCCCCATCCCTTTATTGATCAGCAGCTTCTTGCAGCTGTCCCAGCTTACCACCAGCGCTGTCGGGGCAATCATCAACGTCAGGAAGGGGGGTTGGGCAGCCAGCGGTGCAGTGTTGCAGCCGCAGCTGGATGAGGACGCGAGATGGCAGCTGGAAACGGCTGGATTTTTTCACTTGGCTTTGTAAACCGCTTTGGGATGTTTGTGCCAAATCACTTATTCCTGCTTGGGAGTTTTGTCCTTGTGAGGAGCGGGCTTCCTGACGGTGCACGTGCGATCAGCCAGTTGTGTTTACAGATGGGCACAAGGGCAAACAAAATATTGAGGTAACTAACGTTCAAAAAAATCGAAATATTTCAAATCTTTGGTCGTCAGAAGCCAACCAGCAGGCAGCAGTTTGAAACAGCCCGTAACACAGCCACCAGTATCAGTGTTTGGAGGCATTTACAAACAGGATCCTCAAATCAGCCAAGTGCTAATCGAGCTGCACCATCCCCAGGCTCCTCTAGAGCTCTTTTCTCTGGTTTCACAGTGACAGGGCAACCAGGAACCCTTCGCTGTGCTTCATGCTGGAAGCCTTTTATGCTTGTGATCTCCCCATCTGCTGCTCTATCCCCACAGGCCTCCCAACTTGGACATTAACCACGTCATGGGTTTGTCTGACTTGAAGAAAAAACTACCAGAAGCTGCATTTGGGAAAAGAAATTACACTGAGAATGAAGGTGAGCGCCAAACCCGCTGGCCTGATGAGGGACATGTGCTTGTGCTGTGCCGGAGGAATTGCCCCGGGGGGGTCAGAGCTCAGGTCCACGTAGCACTGGGGCTTGTCTTAAGGGTGGCTGATGGCAGATAAGGAAGGAGAAATGCCAAGGCAGCACAGGCATGTTCCCCTGTCCACACTTCTTACGGTCTCCTGGTGTGATATAATCCTTTTCCCAAAGCAGCCTTTTAATCGGCCCGTTCCTGGGACAGGGCAGGGTGGGAGACCCTGTTTAGAGACTGGGGCTCCCATCCTGCGAGGGATGGGAGAGCAAATGGAGAGCAAATTCGGGGAGATAAACTTTCCCCTTCCTACATGATCTCCCTGCGAGGTGAGGGACACTCCACCTCTTGGGGTCTGCCCCGGTGTCTCCTGCATTTGGGCGGGTGGGGGTAGCTGCCAGCCGAAGCCGAAAGATGCCTGCAGTAGCTGTGGGTCACGGGTAGCCTGCTTGTGACTTCAGGGGGACTCGTGGTGACAGTGACTGGCAGCATGAGAGGGGAGAGGAGTCCAGAAACCGTGGGGAGAGGCAGGGAACGCTCAGCAATCGTCAAGTAAAAGCACAGAGTTGGGGAAGGGAGAGAACGGATCTACCTTAGTGGTGCTAAGAGACCCTGCTTCCCTCTAGTCAGCCACTCTGCTCTGGTCAGGGCAGGGTGGGGAGGAGGGGACCTGTGCCTGGTGACACTTCAGGGGCTCATACTGCTGGTTGATTTTGGGGTTGGAGGTTTGACGAGCCCGGCAGCTCTCAGCCGCGAGGTGTTTCGCTCCCGATGGCTGCGGACGCGCAGTCCCTGGCCCGGATACCCCAGGTTGCACGTGGAGGGCTCTGGATGTGACTTGCAGAAGCTCTGGGTGCATTTTCGGGTGGTCTTGCGCCAACATAAGCGTGGACTGCTGCAGTGTCGCCTCCCATCTGTGTAGCAGCTCTGCTGAGCCAGGTCAGGGCACTGCTCGGGCTGCCCGACCGCCAGCCTGTTTTGGGGGTTGTTAGTGTTCAGCTTATAGTGCAGGTGGGCACAGGATAGAGCCAGGGAAGGAGGACACAGGAGAAGTGGGGGGGAGGCCACAGAGACCCTTGATGAAGGTGCCGTGGAGCCACGGTCTTAAGATCGGCTGGTGAAAGAGAGGAAATAGTTGAAGAGAAGAATTTTGCTGTGGAATGCAGAGGGGTAAGGTTGGGTCTGAGATCTTGCCTTTGTTAAACTGCTTTGGGGATCGGTGTGTGGTGTAAGGATGCTCCATAGCAGGGGAGGATGCATGTCAGCATGAGGTATTTCCCTCTGAGAGGCTCCCTGTCTCTGTTGAAGCACACAGCACTGGTTAAATTGCCTTTGTTAGCTGCGGGGATAAGATAAGAAACATCTCCCGTGAACCAGGGTTGAAGAGGAAACTCACTGCGACAGGAATGTGTGTACCAGCTTAGGAAATCTTGAGAAGTTTGAGTTTTTTAAACCCCAGTGCTTCCACCAATTGCCCACCGATCTTCCTGGTACAGAAACACAGAGTTCGTGGAAGAGGCACTGTTTCAACATCCAATTCTCTCTCTTTTGTCTGCAGTCTGCTTTCAGGGTGTTTACTTCAGCCTGTACGAAGTAGAAATATCAAATAAGGATCAACATAAAATGGATCAGTTAGTAGAAAATCTCAAGGAAAAGGACTTGGTAAGTATTTTAAACCATTGTTGAACTGGGAGGAAAGCAGCCTTTTAAATGATCTCTTGAAACTTTTGGTAACATTATTCACAGATTCTGAACTAATGCAAAATGGGAATGAATTTCCCTGCTTCGAGTATTAGTTCCCTGCTTTGTTATTATCAAACATCCTTCAGTCTTTCCTTGTATAAAGTGTTAACTGAAGGTTACCCGCTATGAGCTGGGAGCTGATTTCTAGGGTGTGTATGCCCTGCTAAGCAGGTGTTACACCAGGCAAACCTCCTTTTTGGCAGTATGCCCTGCTAAGCAGAAGGTGTTACACCAGGCAAACCTCCTTTTTGGCTGTGTTTATGCCAAATGAGATTATTTTGTTGTTTTTATTCATCGTTTTCCCGCTTGCGTTGCAAACAGAATGATGGACAAAGACTGCGAGGGGGTGTCATATATTAAGAAAGCAGAAGCAAAGTCACCCAGTGCCAAAATGAGAATTACTAAGGGAAAGATAGAAGCTGTCACACGCCTGCCTTTCTCCCTCGTGGCTGAAAAATAGCCCCCACTCAGCTAGATGCTCACCGTTACGCTGCTGAAACCTCCTGGGCTTCTGGGAGCCCTGAAGATGTTGAGATTTATCCTTTTAATGGGAGTTTCCCTTGCGAGATGTTCCCTGATCAGGCTTTTTTGCAGCACGCCGGGGGCTTTTTGTTCCTGGTGTGATTGTCCCGTCTCCTTGTGACTCCGAGGGATAAACCTCCCCCACTGTGGAGCGCGGCGTCTGCGTCTCTGCTGGGCTTTGTGGTCGCCTTGGGGTTGGCTTTGCCGCTGCTGGTCGCTCTCTCGCATCTGATGCTTCCTGGAGATTCAGGGTTGTAAATTCACGGCTGCAGACTCGGGGTGTGTAACGTACCAGAGCGAGTGTTTGTGGTGGATCCCTGTAGGAAACGCACTCAGACTCTCTAAGTATTGATTGAACTGCATGAGGGGGGAAAAGAAAAAGAAGCAGGGGGGGACAGCAAAGAGAATCGTGGTGTCCCTTCACGTGCAGGTCACCCTGAGCTGTGCAGAGTCCGTTGGACCTCTGGTTGGGGCACAGATCAGTCCGTGTTGCAGCGCATCTTGAGCTTCCCAGCGTCTGAAGGGACATAAGCTTATCTGTGCTGTCCCTTTTTCCTTCTGTTCTCACCAATAAAAGACATTTTAATCAATACTTTAGAGTCCAAGTGCTTTTCTTGCTGGGATCTGTGACAGCTGCTTGTCCCCGGTGCGTTACACCGTGTCTGCAGCCACTGGGGTTCGTAACGTGCCTCCTGCCCGGCCCAGCAGAGCTGAGCTGGCTAGAGGAGTGGGCAAAGAGGAGATGGTTGAGTTGTGGCCACGAGCAGTTGGGGATTGAAAGCCAGCAGGAGCATCGTTGTCCCTAGAGCTTCCACACCCTCATGCATCCAGATTAATAGATCTCCCTTATTTCGGCGAGGAATCGGTCACAGCCCCTTTTGGGTGTGCTTCTTCCCTCCCCTGTTGAGCAGCCCATGGGTGAATCCGCTTTGGTGGCAGCTCCCAAAAGCCTGAATGAAAAATGCCCTCGATCTCCAAAATGCCCTCGGTCTCCTTGCCCTTTCAGTGGTGCCTGGGCCAGGCTCCCACCTTCTGCAGGGCCCAAGTGAAAATGAAAGGGTGGCTGGGGCTCAGTGGGGTTCCCTGGGGCCAGCTGCCCTCCTCTGGGTGCTGAGGGGTGTCTCTCAGCTCTGTGTCGGGCTCTGCTGCCTTAGGGCTTGACTTTCCTCCTCCCCTGCCTCAAAATGATCCTGTCAGTGAGAAACCACAGCTATTTCATTGAGCTGGAGTGGTGCAGGAGAGATGCTGGCTCTTATCCCTGCTGCTCTGCTGGCTTGAGACAACCAAAGCAAGGAGCTACCCTTCTGAATAGTGAATATTACACTGAAATTGTTCAGCATTCCCAAAGCTGTTTTGTCCTGGAGAAATTAGTGGGCATTAGTCCAGTCCTCTCATGTCTGACTGTATTGAACGGGCTCAGTGAAGTTTCACAGAGCATTACAAGCCCTCTAAGCGTTACAAGTTCCTCTGAGTTTCCTGAAAAGATGTGTCTGCGTGGAAGAAAGATCCAAACGAGTGTCCCCATGGAGGGAAAGGCAGTCCAAGCCAAGCTCTGCGATGAGGCACCGAGCAACACCCAAACACGAGAGAAGCCTCGCTAAGTGCACGTACCTTTTCAGACGTGCGGTCATCCAGCTCTGAGACAGTCTCACAGGCATTGCTTGGCCTCAGCAAATTATTTTTTTCACCTATTCGTGGATACCGATGCTGCTAATAAGCTGCATGGCCTCAGCTTCAGTCAGGCTCCTGGCTGGAACGGTCGGTTGTGTTTTGTCAGACGCTGGTGTCCAGCTTTGCTGTCCCTGCTGGGAAAACCTTCCACTTGGGCGGCAGAAAGCCATTCCTGGCTGAGGTGCCCAGAGGCTTTTGAAGCGAAGGGACTAAAATTATTAACCTTGTTCATTAATTACAGCTAGTTTGGCTAAGCTTATTTATTTTTTAAGGGACAGAAGGGAGGAATTTGAGAGCTGAGTAACATGAACGGAACGTTTTTGGTTACAGGTCCCAGTTGACCCAAGTGGCATGAAACGAACAGTGTCCTCCTCGAGAGGGAACGAGCTGGTGGTGTTGGCACAGGTTCACTGGCAACCAGGGCTTGTTGACACTCATGCTGTGTGATACAGAGTGTGCTAAGGAGGAAAGGGAGTGGTTGCTCTAACTTTGTGTGTGTTCGTTATAGGCAATCATCAAATATTTACAAGATCAAGGAGTCCTTATCCTCCTCACGTCCTCTGCCTTGGCACGAGATGATGGTAAGACGTGGCGACGTAGAAACCAATATCTGTGCTTAAACATCCTGCTCTGTTTTCGAGACAGAGGTCAGTCCCCTCGGTCTAAACAAAACCTGTTGCTTTCTTTCGTAGGGTTTGACCCCAAGGAGCCCGTCAGCCTCCTGGCCCTGTTTCTGTTCTCCTCCTCCCGGTCGGTGTGCCTGAGAGGTAGGGAGGTGCCCTTTGCCGGCTTCGGGCGCTGTGTTTTGGGTCTGGGATCCTCACCAGAAGGTCCTCACAGGCACATTCTTCTTGAAGAGCTGATTTCTCTGCTCAGAACCACCTACAGGTTTAGCGCAAAGGGTGTTAAAAGAGGAGGGAGAAGTCCAACTCTGTAGCTGTGCTGCATTTTAAGCTCTTCTAAACCAGATTCCCTGCCTTGCCCCTTCACTGCACGTCCTTGTCCCTTTGTAGGAAGTGGATGGGAGTGACAAATAATTACTTTTCTCCCTCTCAGTCAGTTTTCAGCAGCACCTGCTCCCTGAACTGTCTTACATGTGCCTGTGGGAGTCTGACTCCTGCAGAGCCTGGCTTACAGCCCTAAAGGGGCGCTGGAGCCGTGCTCAGGAGGGTGAAACGACACATGGCGCTTGCTGGACCCTGCACGGAGCTAATGTGATTCACTAAACCCTGCCCTAAAAAACACATGAATTGTTTTCTGCTGAAATAAGCAAAATGGACTTTGGGAAAGGTTGCCCCTGGTGTGAGGAGGGAGAGGAGGGCTGAGGAAGGGGCGTTGCTCCTTAAAAGAGCAGTGAGGGTTTGGAGGCTCAGCTGTATTGTGTGACTTCTGTGCTTCGGGATCCGTAAATGCTGGCAGGGGAGCCATGAGACCAGTCAGGGTGTGGGATGAGGGAGGGAGGCGGGGAGATGGTGCTGGGCAGAGCCACGGTGCTTTGCTGCCATCAAGGTGAATCACAGCTCTGGGACCTGAGAGGTGCATCCCGGCTGTCTGCAGCTCCACAACGTCCTTCTTTTCGTGCAGAGCAAACACAGAGGCTTTAAATAGGAGAAAATAAAGGTGGCACAGTTGGAACCTGCAGATCTTGAAATAACGAGCTTTAACCTCTGTTGCATTGGCCTCAAGTTTTCTCTGTACCTGTTTTTGCTGCCGGGTGGTGTCTCTGTGGAAATACTCACACTACAGTTTCCTCTTGTGGGCATCGAGGAAGTTACTGCTCCTCCTTCACTGGGTGGCTTCCACTCCACCAGTAATACTTCCAGCCTTGCAGAGCCCCAAGCAACAACATATAAACAGGGGCCTTTTGCTCTGCCTAACTTCTGGCTTGCTTTTTGTTGAGTCATCTTAGGGACAAGCCAAGAGCCTGTTTGTGCCAGCACACACTGGTATTTGTGTGGGTGATGACGATGGAGGTGCCCAGGACATACCCATCTCCCCTCCCCGGAAGATAAACTTGGCAGAAGAGTCGACAGGCCCATCCGAGCATGGATTGCTTTGTCTTTTTCGGTGCTTAACCTACAGCTGTAAAATTTATCCTTCAGGATCTGCGCACAAAGTGGGCTTGTGAGTCCGGTGAAGACATGATGGTAGCTTGGCAGCGCAGGGTGTGAATGTCCTTGCCTGAATTCAGCCGACTGAGTTTCAGGACGTGCTGCTGGTGGCTGTGTTAGCACGGCAGCTTCTCTAGTTTCTTTTCTAGGAGAGAGACGGGCCCCTCCTGAGGCAGCCTGAAGAGCCAAAGTGCCAGCTCAAACCTGGGATCAGGTTGTTGCTGTGATGCCTGAAGCGAGGGCTTGAAGTTGGGTGAGGTGAAGGGGAAGAATGCCCGGAGAGCAGGCTGGAGGTGGGAACTGACCACCCAGCTGTTGAGATCTTGCTGAGCAGCCCTGCAACAGGCAGAAAATACCCTCCAGAGCAGAGGGATCTATTCCTGAAGGGCTGACTGCTTAGCACTGTATGCTGAGGGAGAGGAGAACAGGACAAGGAGGCATTTAGCACGAAGAAGGTTATTGTGGAAGAAGGTGGTGGAGACAGAAGAGGGCACGGGGTGTAAGGAGCATCCCAGAGCGAAGGTGGTGTGAGCAGCTGGTTGGGAGGAAGGTTTGGGGCTGTAGCAGCTGTTGCCTGTGGCTGGTGTTGGTGCTAAAGAGGAGGCAAAGCCTGAGCAGCCAGAGGGCAACTGGTGACAAAGTGAAGAGGCAGGGGGAGAGGATAACAGCGAGTAAACGTTCGACGTTGTTACGTGTCGGGATCTGAACGCTGGTGGCTTCCAGATGTTTTCCCTCTGCTGCCAGCAGGACTCCTGCGTGTCCTGTCCTGTTCTGCCTACGCGAGCGGCGTTACACCAGCCAGCTCTGGCTGTCCCCGGGCTCTGAGACCTCTCCTTGCTGGGGTTACGACCCCTTTTTTCCTTTAGGGCTGCTTCTTTCTGTGAAGCAGAGCTGAGCAGGAGTTTGGGGTTGAAAAGAGACGGTCGCCGAAGACAGCAGAGGTGCAGGGGAGACGCGAAGAGGGAAGGAGGGTGAAAGACAGCCACGTCTGAAGTCATCTCAGCTCGGGCTCGAAGCACAAATAATGTTTCCTGTTTTGAAACGAGCGGCCTCCGAATCTGTTCCCTTCCAGTCCAGATCAGCCGGCGGGAGGAACGTGGGGCAGGCGGGGGAGCTGGCTTGCTGGGAGGCCTGGGCTGACCGGTAACAAGGACCAGCGTTGCCAGCGCGAGGCAGGGCCAAGAGGGGAAGAAAATCACGCCGCTGGGAGGGGAAGAGAAACGGTTTTGCCTCGCTGGGAAGAGGCGTGACGGGGAACTGGGGTCGTCAGCCTGGCCCTGCAGCCGAAAGAAACCTCGGGAGTCGGGTCGTAACGCGCAGATGGGCCAAACCTGCGGGTGCGAAGCGCCAACGGCAGAGTGCTGGGCTGCAGGAGACGAAGCTGGGAGAAGTCTGGCTTGTGCAGGAGGGAGGCTCGACCGACAGGCTCTGCCTATCACACTGGCTCTCCAGGGATTTCCAGACACCGAGAGGATGCTGCTATGCCAAGCAGAGCCTGCTTCCACGGTGACACCACCCTCGAGCCTTGGGACTCGTTGATCCCTCCTGGGAGCTAAACCCGAGGCTTTTATGATACTGCGTAGTGTATGTGGTAGGATCCGTCCTCCAGCTTTAGAAAGTCACCCCGGGGATTCATGTTCTTTGTTTACACAGTCCCCAGGTCTGCTTGGGGAAGTCTGTGTTCCTCATCCCGCTCCAGAGGACCGCTGTGGTGTCTTCATGTGAAGTGCCTCCACCCCCACTGACGGCAGGTAGCGATGGAGCTGCTTAGGAGTTGCATCTGAACAGGGACGTAACGCAAGTGATCTGAAAATGGTGCTAGTCTGAACACCCTGCATTTAATCAGGTTTAAAAAAAGCCAAACAAACAACAAAACCCGTGTATTTTCAGAGCTCTGACTGTCCTAAATGTTGGGTGTAGCAAGAGCTGCTGGAGTGACGGGACTTGGACCACTGTGTGTGCGAGCTCCCTGTCGTTTCCTGCAGAACGGGGCTGGCTGACACGACAGCCGTCCTTCATCTCGGTGTAATCCACTTCTGACTCCGATGTGCAATTCTTTTTTGCCTTCAGCAGTTGCAAGTATCGATCAAACCAGGGCAGCACCCCTGGGGATGGCTTTTTGGAGGTTGGCTACTGGGGCTTTTTCGTGGCTTTCGTGCTCTCTTTGCATGTAACGGTGAGGTGGGGAATTTAACCCTTTTTTAATATCAGTAAAATTCTCTTCTTTTCCTTTCGCAGTTGAAAAGCACGATGCAAAAGATGAAAGGGAAGATAGTGACATCTCATTAAGAATAGCCTCAGTTTTGCCTGGACTTCGCTATGCCTTACAGAAAGCCACCAGTTCTTCCTGGGGGGACACAGTCAGTACCAGCATACGTATCAAACAGCACTTGCAGGAATATGCAAAGCTTGATCAAGATACACAGCCCACCTCTGGCCAAAACAGCGAAGTTCCCCTCGCTTCTCTCCTCTCACCAACTGAGGGTGAATGTACTAATCCCTTCGAAAAGCCCTCAGAGCAGTCCTTCTCCCAGCTGCAGCGTTACCTCTCGGATCCCAGCAGCTATACCCTGGAAATGTCGGCTGCCTTGGGCTGTTTGTCTGGTGCTGTTCAGTCTCTTTGCTGCGATTCCAAGGCTGATTGTGAAGCGCTCGTCTCTTCAGCTGGGCCACCGGACCCTTTTCCTCCCAACACAGCAGTGGAAATAAAAATCAAAAGTGAAAACCCCAAGCCCGCTGTGGGGCTGGACCGGAGTGGTGAAGGGCCCGCAAAAGACATCAGCTCAGCCAGCAAGCTGTGGGTGCAGCAGAGCAGGAGGAAATCCAGCCGAGCCGTTGTGACCAGCAGCAGGAAGAAATGGTCACCCCTCAAGATGCAAATGCATCCTGTGGGGGACAGCGGCAGGAACAGGAAAGCCACCAAGAAGAAGAAAATCAACATCGCTTTCTCTTTTCCTAAAAAGCCAGGGTTCACGGCCAATTCCGACGAGCCCATGCTTAAATTGGCCAATTTGCAGTTTCCACACAGGAGGAAAAGAGGTAGGTGCTCCATAAATGGGACTGACTTCCCCCTGCTTCTCCAGGGGATCCAGCTGGGATACTCAGGCTTCGCTAGTCCCCTCACCGTCCCCCCCAAGGTGCCCGGAGCAAGCAGACACCTCCCGAGAGCATCCTAATAGGTCTGCGGTGATGTCTCCACAGGCTCTTGTTCAACCTGGGGAAGAGCCCAGGGCTCTGACAGGGGATTTCGGTGAAGGTGCCTGCAACTCGGTGCAGTGGTCCATGCTGTTTCCTTCCTTTGCTTACGGGGGACCGTGCACGGGGGCGTCAGCCAGGTCGTGGTTCTTGCATCCCTTGTCCACAGGCTGTCGATGGCTCAGGCAAGGAGCAGTTGCCAAAGCCATGGTCATCACAGGCTGCCTAGATAGTCAAGCCACCCGGCATGGTCACCTTGTGACTCCCTGAGAGTCAACTTTCTTGCTGTGGCCTTGAGGGAACACGAAGTGCGAGACTGATGACACCCAACTTGCTCTGCTGAAAGCTGGTGTCTGGCCCGAGCCGCGCGTGGGAGGTGTCTCAACGGCAGAAGTGGTCCTCTGGAGGCTCCTCTCTCACTGCTGAGGATAGACTAAGGGTGTCCTTCTGAGCTGGCCTGAGCCTCCATCTGATTTGTGGAGGTGCTCAAAGTGGGTTGAGGTCAGTCTCAACCTTGGTGATGAAACGTGGCTGGAAACATCCAAAAAGAACCTCTCCTGGCATCTACGTACGTCACGGGGGGCAGAAAGGCGGGTGGCACGGCGTCTGCCCGCTCTGGGCTCAAGTCAGC